TTTCCGAATGCCAACATAAAGACCCTCAAGGCACCCCAAAAAGCTTTCCAAGGCGCCTTCAAACCACAAAAATCGTCCCATTCCCTTCGTAAGACTTACAATTTTAGCATATTCGCCTTTCGGATTTCATCAGCTTTCAAAACGGTTTCAAAGCCCCCGAGATCGCCTCAAAACGCTCCAAAAAGCCCCCTAGAAAGCTTCAAGACGGCCGAGCCGGGCCCCACGATCGCCCACAAGAGCCCCAAGACAGCCCATAATGGAACCAAGAGGTCCCCCAAGGGCTCCCAGTATAGACCCAAAAGGGCCGTGGGAGGTCCACGGAAGTGCCCAAGATGGGTCCAAAGGGGGCTCTAGCGGGCCCAAGCTCTCCAAAACGGCCCAAGAAGGCCCCAGGACGGCCCATGAAGGCGCCAAAACGGCCCACGAGGGCCCCGAAAACACCCCCACGATGTTTCCGAATGCCAGCTTTCATCGATTTTGCTCCCATGACATTTCATATTGTGACCCAGTCGTTGAGGGTCTCGTGGCATGTAGCGAAGATGCCCGAGGATGCCCCGTACGAGTTGCATATGCATGTTCATACCCTTACACACATGAATTTATATGTACATATGTACGCTGTATACACGTACAACAATGAAACGATATTGTATAGACCTAGACATTAATACGGAACGTGCATGCACGCGCGCGTGTATACATGCATGCGCGCATGTTCGCACGCACGCATTCCGCTTGCGTGCAGAGATCAAAAGACCAAGGTGCACGGCGCGCAGCGCCAATGCAGTCTTGCATATATATATATATATATATATATATATATATATATATATATATGTATATATCCCTCTCTTTCTCTCTCTCTCTCTCTCTCTCTCGCGCTGTCTCTCCTGAGCGCAGTTTCAGGGGAGCGCTCTGGTCCAGAGCACAGTTTCAGGAGCCATGGGGATGTTTCTCCGTAGTGCAATAGGCTATGCGAGAGGAGTTCCCGTGATTCCCTCCCTTGGGCCCTCTGCCTACAGGCACCCCTCCCCGAGGACCCACCGTCGTGAAGTGCTGGAGGCTAACTGATCTAAAGTGCCGATAGGTGAGGTCCTCCATGCGGGGTCCACTCTGGCTTCCTCCCTCTTCCCCATGTTTCCTCTCGGCATCCTCCTGAGGCCTCTCCCTCCTCACTCCCCCAGTGAGAGCCCCCGTACAGTGAGAGGGTGTTGGCCACGTCCAACACGGCACGCAAGTGGTTTTCCCGCCTCCCTCACGTTGACCTTCCCCTCTCCCACGGCGAAGCGCCCAGAGGCGCATGGAGAGCTCTGCAGGGCCACCAGTCACGTGGGCGTGGAGGGTCTCTCTCCCTCCCACCCTTCTGCCGCTCTCACTACCCGTCTTTGTCCTATGCATGCGCGCATGTACAGTCCAGTGGTTGGACGGATCCACCTGCCTGTGCTCCCCTTTGGACATACCCCGACGCACGGCGTTGGCGTCCAGGCACTCTGGAGTGCCCCGCGGGACCGACCGCTTCTTTTCTCAGGAGGGTTTCTTTTTCTCTCTCTCTCTCTCTCTCACTCTCTCTCTCTCTCTCTCTCTCTCTCTCTCACCCGCCCATCACTACATACATCCTTGAGTATTCCTCCTCTACCTCTCGTGCTCCTGTGTTTCTGCTGCCTTGTCTCGCCCGCTGCAGTTTCTGGCCGAGACGTCTCAGGGAAGCAAAGTACCCACGTTACGCTCACAGTACCTAGCTTGGTGCCCCCTCTCGACGAGAGGGCCTGGTTCACGTCTCGGAAAAAAAGGACAGTTGATAATCTCGGCTGGAACTCAAGAGTTATAGCAGTCTCATCACACATCTAACGCAAGCGGTGACTCTCTCTCTCTCTCTCTCCCTCTCTTGGCCTGTGGATTTGTCGAACGCGGCCATTCTCCCCTCTGCCTCCTCCTCGTCCTCCTCTTCTTCCTCCTCTTCCTCCTCCTCTTACTCCTCTTCCTCCTCTTCCTCCTCCACGGCTGCGAGATTTGAGGGCTAATTTTCCGAAGGACTCTGCGGGCTCAATTTCGAAGGGGATCTGGCCATGGCGACGACAAGCGCCCCCCCCCCGCCGGCCCCACAAGGCCCCTAACTCCTGGTTATCGTAAGAACGATTACAGGCTACCAGGCCGGACCATTGAGAAGGATCAGTCCCGATTACGCCAGGGATAAGCCCGATGAGACTGGACAAAGCTAGGCGAATCGAAACTGAACGAGACTGCGCCGGATTTGGCCCGTTTTTGAAGACGGAAATACAAGCGCGGATGCTACAATTAGGCACTCAAGAAATGCGTCCGCACCACTTGATGGGCCCGCGAACCCGGCAAAACAAATAAGTCTATGAATTAGTTGTCAGACTTCTCTGGTGACGCCTCTTTGTGAAGATGTCTCAGACGAGAGCCGCCAAGTTCTTGAAGGTACGTCGAATTCGGGAGCTCAGTGAACATCCCCCTTTCCCTGAAGATGTCTACAGCGAAACGCCCCGCCACACCAAGTTCGATATCCCACGCCCGAACTCTACATCTCAAGTGTCTGAAGATGTCACATGCGAAAACCTCTAGTAATGATAAGCAACGCCGTAAAACAAATCCAACATTCTTTGTGTGCGAAGATGTATCATGCGAAGCCCCCTGACCATGTTGAATATCCGGCGCCTGGTCTGCAACATATTATTATTTAGAGGATGTCTGAAGGCGAACGTATCGCTTTGATAACCAACGTCAGAGAACAACTCCTTCAACATCCCAAAGTTGGACATCGGACGCCCGATCTCCAACATCGCAATGTTCTGAAGATGCCACTGGCGTCGGATACCCGACGCCCCCGCTGACACGTGAAACCACGTGCCCCGCGCGCACACCCCGCTCTGCGCACGCAGGTTGCATGCGAAAAGCATCCGACGCTTCGACATTGGATACTCCCTCTGCGGGCCCCGCTTTCGCCAGGAGCGCCTGGAAACTTCTTGCGCCGGCGGCGAAGCAGGGGTCGTCTGCGCTGGCGGAAAGGCCTAAACGGGGGTGCCGTTCGAGCGAAGTGTGCCACCATCATGCAGGAGCGGGAACAGGCGGAGGACGCGGCCGAGAGAGGGGGCCGGGGGAGCGAGCCGCTCAGGGGGACGGGTCACGCCACAAGCGCGGAGCGCGGCCAGCCCCGCCGGCGGGCCCGCGGCGGCTGCTGCACCAGGGGGCCGGCAGCGGCGGGGCGCAGAACACCTGGAAGCACAGGCCGAACGCATGCCCGACGACACACACGTTGGAGAGTTGGAGACGCCCGCCCTCCGCACGCGTATTCTGCGCGCGCAGTTCCGCCGCCACCTGCTCGACACCTTGCCGGTGCAGGGGCCAAAGGCCCGCACACGGAAAGAAAACCCTGCGCCTAAGCACGTACCAGGAAAAAGGCCTAGAACCCTCCCGGAGCAGGGCCAGGCGGACGCACCTCCTTGGATCTCTCAACGGGAGGCCGAAGTGCGGGATGCACGTCCACGACGCGATCCACTGCGACCACGACAAGGACCTCCGCTACGCAGCCATCTTCCCACTGAAGGCGCTGGCAGACGTCGGCCTCTGTGTCTGGCGGGCGGACAATGGGAGGCACCTGGAGATCGATGCGGTGCTCTCCAGCGGGCAGCCGCGACGAGAATGCCACGTGATGATACATCGCGGGCACATGCGGGCCCTGAAGGCCCCCGCCAGCGCAGCGAATGCGCGCCAGGCAAAGTAACCAGCCTCGAGCTTATCCCTATCCCCAAAACCGACAGCGACAAGGCGATGCCAATCTTAGGGATGCGCCCTCAGAAACCGAGATCCTCGAGATCGGCGTCGACACAGGGTGACACCAATATTTGGGATAGGGATATGTTCCAGGCAAATGTCCGTCGTGCTCTCTGTTCGCGACGCGAGGGCCCAAAACCCCACGTGCGCCCGCGCGCGCCAATACTGCGTACGCGCTTCGGACCTGCGCAGCCGTCAATGTCAGGCTATCCGGGGGGAGGCGGGCGGGCGCGCGGGCCCGACGACCCGGTCTGCCGCGGGACCTCAGGAAAACAGCCCCCGAGTCCCCAGGAGAGGCGTGCGAACAAAGAAGGCCTCAAACCCCAGGCCGTGTATATGTTCTCTTGTGCGATGAGAGGGCCCAGCTAGAAGAAGAAGAAAAGGCCATTCACACAAACTGTTAGCGCTACGCGCTACGAGCGGATGTCCGGATGTCTGTTCATGTTCATGGCGTCTTTTCCTCTTCCGCCACAGCCCTGCCCAAAATCCGGCGCCGCCCCCCAAAGATGCAACATCGCAGGAAGCCACGACGGGACCCCCAGACCCCATCTCTCTGCGTCATGGTTCGGGCCGGATCGATCTGCGAGGGTCCCGGGGCCCGAAATGGAGCGAAAACGCCCGGCTCGAAAATCGGGTCGGGCGAAAGGCGAAAGGGGGGGATAGCAAAGGGGGGGTTTGAGAATCAGCTCACGTAGCTGATTTTCCCGGCGCCTCCCGGCGCTGGGAGGCGCCCATGTATCGAGGAATGGGCCCCTCGGTGAGGCCGAAATCAGCTGCATGCAGCAAATTTCGTAACCCCCCTTTTCCCAATCCCCCCCTTTCCCCCGGCCCGAGAAAACATTGCGCCGCCAGGATCTCAGGGCACCCCTTCTTCCGCCCTGCGCCCCCCGCCCCCCGCCTTCCCCCCTGCGCCCTCTCCCGCCCGCCCTCGCGACGGCCCCCCCCCCCCGCCCTGCGCCCCCCCCATGGGGCCGCTGCGCCTCGGCGCGCCCTGCCGCGCCTCGCCTCCTCTCGCCCCTCGCCTCCTCCCTCGCCTCCTCCCTCGCCTCCTCCCTCGCCCCCTCGCCTCCTCCCTCGCCTCCTCCCTCGCCTCCTCCCTCGCCTCCTCCCTCGCCTCCTCCCTCGCCCCTCGCCTCCTCCCTCGCCTCGCCCCGCCCCTCTGCCCCGGGAGCTCAAAGGAAGAGCCCCTGCGGCCGCGCCTGGCGGGCCGTAGCCCGGCGGCGGCCCGCCGGGGTAGCCGGGAGGCGGGCCGTACCCCATCGGCGGCGGCGCGCCCACGCCGGGCGGGGCGCCGTAGCCCATGGGCGGGCAGCCCATGGGCGGGCAGGCGCCGGGGGGTCCTGGAGGAGGAGGTCACCGAAGGAGGAGCCCAGGAGGAGGAGTTCCAGGAGGAGGAGGGGGGGAGGGGGGGAGGGTGCGGAGGAGGAGGAGGACCAGTGCAGACCCAAGAGTAGTCAACGATGTTGGAAGAAACCCTCCCTCCAAGCTCCCTCTTCACAGGCCCCATACAACGACTCACTTCCGCTGGGGGAACTGCCTCGTTGGAAGAAAACCGTTTGAAAACCCTGAAGCATGCCATGACATTTTTCTCGGGATTCCAACGCCACGAATCAACCTGACTCTTGCGTCTTGGTGATCCTGAGTCGTGCCAGAACGCCATTCCTGGGACTTCAACACCGCAAATCAAAGCAACTGTTGCACCCTCATAATCCTGAATCCTTCGGAAACGCCATTCCTGGTACGCTGATCGTGGGAGTCCGTGAAATTCCCTTGCAGTTTTTTTTTTTAAGAATGCGCGCGGCGCTCAAGCGAGAGCCATATTTTGAAAACGGGCCGCCCTCAATATGTGAAACTCTTGCCAACTTTTAAATCGAATGCACGCGGCGCTAAGGCGAGAACCACATGTTGAAAACGGGCCGCCCCCAATCCGTGAAACTCTGGCCAATTTTCAAAATGAATGCACGCGGCGCTAAAGCGAGAGCCACATTTTGAAAACGGGCCGCCTTCAATCCGTGAAACTCTGGCAATTGTTCAAAACGAATGCGCGCGGCGCTAAGGCGAGAGCCACGTTTTGAAAACGACCCCCCCTCCATCTGTGATTTGTTTGTCAATGTTTAGGCTTCAAGGTCAGAACTGGTGAGGGAGTCTCAGGCGAAACGCCTGGCCCGCCCTAAAACTAGCTCTAGGGTGCGACAGGGAGAAGTTACTTGTAAGGAAAAGGTATGGAGGATGAAGAGGAGGAGGAGGAGGAGAAAGAGGAGGAGGAGGAGGAGAGGAGAGGAGAAAGAGGAGAAAGAGAGAGGAGGAAGAGGAGGAAGAGGAGAAGAGGAGGAGGAGGAGGAGGAGGGGGAGGAGGAGGAGGAGGAGGAGGAGGAGGAGAAAGAAGAGGAGGAGGAGGAGGAGGAAGAGGAGGAGAACTTCTTTGGACTTCGATGCTGGGGGCGCCGTAATTAGCCCATGGGCGGGCAGCCCACAGGTGGGCAGCCGCCAGGGGGTCATGGAGGACCCTGAGATTCTGGCGTTGCAACTTTTTCACAGCGGACGTTTTCGCTGCAATATTAGGGCCCGGGGGCCCTCGCAGATTGATCAGGCTCGAGAAATGGCGCAGAAAGATAGGGTCCGGGGCTCCGAAGGTGATTTGATGCGATGTCGCGATGCTTCTGCAACGTCAGATCTGAAGGGAGGAGTCCCGACGGAGGAGTCCAGGAGGAGAAGTCCTGGCGGAGAAGGGGGGGGGAGTCTTCAGTCGTAAGGGCGTCCAAGACGGCGCGAGAGGCCCCAAGATCAACCCAAGATGGCCGATGAGGTCCACATTCAGACACCCGGCCGCTCCACTTTTCTCGATGAGTGGGCCTCAAAAGGTCTGGACCACTTCCCCAGGGCTGGCTTTTCGCCCCCGGCCGTTTTGACGCTCCCGAGGCCCAGCGAGGGCCCCCAGAGGCCCGACAACGGCAAAAAAATGGCCGCACCGATTCTTGTCGGAGCGTCGGGTCTCTGGGTAACCGGTCGGCCCGAGAGGGCCGCAGGGTGGCGAGAGGCTCCCCCGAGGCAGACACGAAACGGCCCAGGCAGGGCCACAGGGGCGCCCCCCAGGGCGGCCCCAGGAGGCCGCACGAGACGGCGCCTGCTCCAGGAGGCCCCCAGGAAGCCCTCCAAGCGGGCCCATCAGGAGGCCCGGCGAGAGACCCAAGCCAGCCCCATGACCGCTCCAGACCCAGACCCCCTCGGGTCATGAAAATCACGACGGGGGGTTTACGCCATTTTCGGCCTCTGGGGCCATCACTGGGCCTCGGGACCGTCAAAAAACGACTCGGGGTGAAAATCCGGTCCCGGGGAATGGGTCGAGACCTCTGGGGGTCGACGTTATGAAAAATCCTGGCGTCGGGGGTCTGGGGAAGACCATTCCCCAGTGCTCCCCCCCGTGGTTTCCCCAACGACTGGGGTCAATACGCAGTTTACCAGCGTGGATGGACTTTCGGCCGACTGTTGGCCACGCAGGCGTCTTCGAAGAGCAGTGGGGGCGGCGGTGACTCGCCGGAGGCGTCTTCGATAGCATCCATAGCTCAAGGTCTGCGGGCCCCCACCGCCGGGCACACACACACACACACACACACACACACACACACACTTTTTGCGTCGGCGGCTAGGCAGAGTGACTGCGCTGGCGGAAGAGCAAATGCTGGGCGAACAAATGCGAATTAAGCCGCAGCGCACGGGGGAAGGAGGAGGAACGCCCGGCGACGGCGGGAGGGAAGAGGAAGCTGGGCCCGCTGCACACACACAAACACACGGGGACGGGGGGGAGGAGGCGCGCACGCAGGCGCGCACGCACGCCCGTTTCGGCAACACGCAGGAGCGACCCTGGGTAAGAGTGACCCTTGGTGCGCGGCATTTGGGGGGCCGCGGGGGGACCAATCACAACCGAGCAAGACGCTTCTCTCGCACCGCGCTCGGCGATCGGGGGACCCCATGTGGGCCCGCACCAAAGGTCACTCTGGCGAAGGGTCGCTCTTACGTGTCGTCGATCTTCGCCCAGCAGCTCCGTAGCCCATCGGCGGGGGGCCGTAGCCGTACGGGCCGGGCGGGCCGTAGCCGTACGGGGCGCCCATCGGCGGCGGCATGTGCCCAGGCATGGGCGGCATACCATACATCCCTGGCGGCGGCATCGGCCCGTGGCGCGTGTCGCGCTCCCGGTCGCGGTCGCCGTCTCTGCCCCGGCGGTCGTCTCGGCGGTCGTCTCGGCGGTCGTCCCGGCGGTCGTCTCGGCGATCCCGGTTTCCCCTGCGAGGGGACCGAGAAAGGCACGCACGCAGTCACCCCCGCCCTCCTGGCCAGGAGGGGCGGGAAGAGGACCCTTAGATCTGACGCCGCAAAGATAACAAAGCGACACATCACCACCACCACCACCACCAACGACTGAGCCCCAGACCCCACCATCCTGCGCCATGTTTCGAGCCGGGCCCGACCTGTGAGGGTCCCAGGGCCCGAAAAAATTGGCGACAACGCCCGCTGCGAAGCAACTGCAGCGCCCTGACCTGAGGGGCGAAGGGGGGGGCGCAGCTTCCTGGGCGCGCCCCACCTGCGGTCATCCCCGCGAGGCTCCTCCTCCTTTCGGGAAGACGGAAGACTCGGGTGCGGGGGACTCGAGCTGGCCTGACGGAGCTGTCAGGAAAATGACGAGACCCAGTCTGGCAGTGGACGCGAGCTCCCGCTGCAGACGTCCCACCAAAACTGGACCGCCAAACTCCAGGACGCGCTCGCCAACGAGCGCCAGCAGAGCCGAGGTCCGGCGCACTCGAGTCTGACGTCTCCCCGATCCTTCGGACTCGCTCGTGGCGGCGGCGCCTGGACCTGCTTCGGCGGCGCCGCCTCGCCCGCACCTCCGGGGCGCGGGGCGGCCGCCTCCCCGGCCATCGACGGCCGCGGCCCCACCACCACTGGCGCGGCCGGCGCCGGCACGGCCGCTGCGGCCGGCGCCGGCGCCGGCGCGGGGGCCGTGGCGCCAACGAGCCCCGCGGGCGGCCTGACCACCGTCGGGCCGTGGACCACGGCCGGCGCCGCCACGACCCTGGTCGGGCGCGGCCTAACCGACCCCTGGCGAACCATCCCCTTCCGTGACGTCCCCCTCGCCTCTCCAACTTCCCTGCGGCTGCACACATACGTCTTGGTGCGAGGCGAGGGGGGCGTCACGGAAGGGGACGGTTTTCTAGGAGTCGGTCAGGCCGCCCCTGACCTTGGAGGAGGCACCCCTGGCCGGACCACGACAGGGACCCCCTGCGGGACTGGCACCCCGATGCTCTTGACGAGAGCCACCGCGGAGGCGACGTTCGTGTGGGCCTGGGTGACCATCACCACTGGCATCGCGGACTTGGCCATGCCACCCTTCGCCATGGCGCCGTGCACAGGGCCCGTCAGCGTCGGCATGGGGGGCCTAGGCGGTACAACTGCAGGGCCCGCTAGCGCCGGGACGCCGACCTCGCCTCCACTGCATGGGCCGCCAGGCATGGTAAGTGCTGGGGCGTCCTTGGCGCCGGAGGTTCCCGCAGGTGACGTGGAATGCACAGCTGCAGTCGCCACCTTCCCGAGGGAGGACGATAGGGGGGCGGCTCGGGGGTGTGGTGTGGGAGGGGGGAGAACATCGAGCTTGAATCGGCGACAGATCGCCGATGGATCGGCTGTAGACCCCCGCTAGCGAAACCCGACGTTCCTGGGCGGGGTGGACTACCAGGCCCCTATCGACGATGAGTGGGCAGTGGGGGGTCGATAACCTCTCCCCTGAGCATACACCCCAGAGGTTGCCCTTGACTCTGGAGGGAAGAACTGATCAGATTTGCTCAGGATAACCGTTCACACCAGTCACCCAAAGTGCCGCGGGCAGGTGTGAGGAGCTGCTGTGGGGTCCTACCTCTGATATAAGACAAACGCCCACTGAAAATGTATGATCCCGGGTCGAGGGTTCACATACCCCCTCTGCCCCCCAGATGGGACGGGTCCCAGGGTTCCACACGTCCCCACCCCTCCAGATGGGATGGTGAAGGACGACAACAGCGACGACGACTTCGACGACGACGACGACGACGACGACGACAACGACGACAAGGACGACGACGACGCCGACGCCGACGCCGACAGAAGACGACGTCGACGACGACGACGACGACGACGACGACGACGACGACGACGGCGACGACGTCCAGCCTCCACCACGCCACGCCCACAGGGCCACGACCACCAGAGGGGGTGGGCACCCCATTCGCGAGGCCTTCGCGAGGCTTACGGGTTTGGGGCCCCTACTGGGCACCAGCTCTGGCCCAAATCGGCGCCTTCCCCAAAAACGCCGACCACGGCGTCCTCCATGTGATTTCAGTCCATCAAAACTTCGGCCCCAGCGCCCATACATTCGGCGACGCGCAGTTACGCTCATGCGCACGTGCCTGGCAACAGCGGTGCAAGCTCTGTCGGAACACACACTGCAAGCGCCCACGTCGCTGAGCCGTGGTCGTGCTATGCTGCGCTCAGGGGCCTGCCGCTGCCCCCCCCAACCCGCGGGACCTTTGAGAGGGCTGCCTCCGGCATCCCGCCGGGCAGGCCAGCGAAACCAGCCTTCAGTCGAGGGAACTTAAACGTGGATGGAGGCAACGTGGATTAGCGGCGAGTTCCGTTTCCGTACAGAAACGGCGCGCTCCGTTATCGAATCGGGCGGCACTGACGCCATCAGGTGGCACGTTACCCGATCCGTGGATCTGGCGCCCACTCGACTGATCTATGGATCCCTAATCCATGTTACAATCAACCAGTATGACAAGGACGCGCGACGCAAGGGCCTTGGAAGGTCATGTCGACACTTTGCGAGCGGAGCGCGGCCAGCGAAAGCGGCCAAGGATGGGCCGAAGGGGAAGGATGCAAGCCTAGACCCCCGACGTCATGATTTTTTCATGACGTCGACCCCAAGAGGTCTGGACCCATTCCCTGGGCCGGGTTTTCATCCTGAGTCGTTTTTTGACTATCCCGAGGCCCGGTAGGGGCCCCTAGAGGCCGAAAACATGGAAAACCTCCCGCCGAGATTTGTTCATGACTCGAGGGGGGCTGGGAGGGGAACCTCTGAAAGTTGCTCCTCCTCACTGTGCGGCTTGACTGTATTATAGGGGGGGCGGACCGGCCCATCGGCGATATGGGACGCACAGAGACATACTAATACTGTATGTCCGCCTTGGAGGCGCGCGTCCGACCCGAACATATAGTATACCCATCTTGTAGTATATCGTTTCTCGAGCGGTGTGGCCAGAAAGCGCCCGCCACGACGCATATATTACAAGATTTCTCGGTGCGCGCGTCGCCCCTGGGGGGGCGACGAACACATAGTATAAGTATGTTGGGGGGATGCCGGCGATACGTCGCCGCCAGACCGGCGGTAGGCCCCCGATACAGTGGAAGCCGCACGCCATGCTGCGCGGGCCGGGCCCTCGGGGCCCCGAGTCGGCGAGGAGCGGGCGAGATCGGGGGTCGAGGCACCGACCCCCTCCCGTAGGAAGGCACCAACGATACACCAACACCGATCCTGGGCCAGGATCACCCTGGGCCCAGGATCGGTGTATAACGCCCTCCTGCCTTGCGCAAGAAGGCATATGCACCGATCCTGGGCCCAGGGTGATCCCGGGCCAGTCCTGCGGCGGAGCCAGGACGAGGATGACATCGGGGCGAGGGCAAATCGGGAATGTCTGAGATCCAACGGCTCTTGAGGATGTCGCGGGCGCCGCGGCATTCTTGGAGCGATGCGGAACGCTCTGAGAGCGTTCGGGGACGCTCTGGAACGGATCTGTCCTCGTCCTAACCCCGTCCGAAATCCCTCCCATCTCGTTGCCCCCTGGTTTTCGGGTCATAACTCGGCTCCTCAGCGGCCGCTCGGGACGATCTGGGCACCCCAGGAACGCCCTCGGCGAGGCGCAGCCGCTGGAGAGCATATCCCGAGCCTGCGCGGAAAACCCGCCGAGAACCGACGCGACGCCTGCAAACCTCAAACCTCGCACCTCGATGCATGCCCCGGGGCCGGATTTTCCCCCTGCGTCGCTTCTGCACAGTCCCCCGCGCTCCAGCGAGGGGCCCCCCCCAGCGGCCGCACACCGCCCCAACTTAAGACCTGCCGTCGCGATTCTCCGGCGCCGTGAAATGCCTTCGACGCTCCGAGGGCCGGCTCCCCCGCGCCCGGCGGCGGCCCGGCCGTCACGCCGTTCTTGCACGCCGCCGCCGCGATGCCCGGGGGCACGGGGGGCACGGGCGGCGCGAAGGCCGCCGGCGGGGGCGCCGACTTGGCCGACTTGGACAGGGCGGCGGCCATGGCCTCGGGCCGCCGATCCTCGCTCCGCCTCCTCGGCTCCCGGGGATCCGGGCGTCGCCTTTTTTAAGTCGGGCCTGTCCCCCTACAGGAGGAAGATTCAGGAATAGTGAAACAATAATACGGGGAGGATGTTTTAAAACTTGGGTTATCTTGCATTTGTCGCCCAAAATAAAAACCCGCCCGTAGGAGGACACGCCCGACCTAAGCGTCGGCTTGTTCGCCACGGGCGACATTCCCAGACCTCCGCCGACGTGGTTATGGCAGCCCACGGCGACCCCTTCCTCGGGGGTGGGTTTTCGTCCCGGATCCGCTTCTGATGGCCCCCGGGCCTGGCAACGGGCCCCGGAGGCCGAGATCGATGGAACAACAAATTAAAGCTGGTTTTAACACAACATATTAAAATTACCCCAGTGCGACCCTACCTAGAAGTTGGAGCCCCTAGGAAAGCAGCATTAGTTGCTACGCCATGCTATGCTATGATATGCCATGATATGCTGCGCTATGCTATGCTATGCTATGCTGTGTTATGCTATGCTATGCTATGCTATGCTATGCTAAGCTAAGCTATGTTATGTCATGCTGCGCTGTGCTATGCTAAGCTATGCTATGCTAAGCTGCGCTATGCTATGCTATGCTATGCTATGCTAAGATGAGATAAGCAACGCTAAGCTAAGGGGACGTAACTGGGGGAACCGCGGGGCGGATACTGGGGGAACCGCCCGGGGCGCTTTCCACTGCCCGGCCCGTTTAAGCCCAGAGAGTAAGAGCCCTTCTAGGCAGAGCCTAGATAGGGAATTCAATATCGGTGTGCTTATATATATATATATATATACACACATACATACGTATACATATATATATATGTATATATATACACACTTATATTAAAGAAACCAAGCAAACCTACATATATAACACACTAACAACAAACGCGCACACACACACA